TGTCTGAGCAAATTCTTTGGCATTGGTTTGGTCATGGGGTGACATGGTGGTGCAGCGGGTAGCACTGCAGCCTCGCAGCTCCAGGGTCGCAGGTTCAATCCTGAGCTCAGGTTACTGTCTGTGTGGAGTTTTGCATGTTCCTCCCATGTCCATGTGGGTTTTCTCTAAGTTCTCCAGTTTCCCTTCATCTCCAAAAAACATACCAGTAGGTGGACTTGCTAGTCTAAATTGCCCCTTTGAGTGTGTGATGTTGTGTGCATGTTGCCCTGTGATGGACCATCCATCCAGAGTGTGTCTCTGTCTCATACCCAGTGTTCCTGTGATATTAAAGGAAATGACTTTTTAGTAACATTTTGCAAGGGCTACATGAAACATTTATAAGCCCAACATAAACATTTATCATTTATAAAGACTTATTTGAACAGACATTTCTCAGAAGTCAAACATCAACACCAAAGTCACCCTAATTTCAGGTCAGAGGGAATACACAAAACTGTTATTACTATTTCAAGGCATTGCTATAGATATTTATAAGAACCTTATAAATAGTTCTTCGGTTTACTTATTGGGCCAAAGAAAATATATTTAAATCTATTATTAACGTTTCATGACACCTGTTTGTTTATATATAAAAAATACAAATAGTGAAATGAACTTTTTTTCAATTAAGGGCCAGAGAAAACATTTACAAACTCATTACAGTGTTAGTACAATATTAATACAAATTTTTCTTACAGAATTATGAGGCTTGTGTTACTTCGGTAAAAACCTTTACTCAACTTCTGATTTTTCCAGTTAACCTCACGTGGAAACTTATATCTCATCAACACTATTGTGCAACTCTGACATACCAGAAGTACAGTAAATCAGTTGTCATGATGTTTGACCATTAGCACAGAAAGGTATCACAACAATATGTAATGAATGAATGAATGAATGAATGAATGATTACACAAAATGAAACGAAATTTTGTGTTACTTCGTTCTTGACATCAAGACAACAAAAGCGGTCTTTATGACAGCTGGTATCTGTTGAAATAAGAATTTAAGGCCTATAAAGTGTGTCATGTCACTCGTTGAACAGTAAAAGACATTTAGGACAATGTGTTGCTATGATGCACAGCAAACTAATTATGCTATAAAAATCTCTACTATCTCAGTGGTAACACAGACATCCTATAACATAAAGCTCAAAGTTATATTTATTATTGAGTTCTGGTCACTTGAATTGAATGGATTTAATCCAAACCTCAATAACTCAAAAACAAGTTCACTTATAAATAACAAATCATTTCAGCTTGAATGTGTTCTGTCAGTGGAATGTCCAGGAATAAGAAGCTGTATACATATCTATCTACAGCTCAATTCAATAGGCAAAATGTTATTGCACACATGAATTATGTTATGTATTTAATGGCTAATGTATCTACATTTGTTTAATTTGCCTGCACTTCTTTGTCCATTTTGACTTCATTTTATGTCATTGCATATTAGCTGTTCATTAGTGTTGCCAGGTTTGCAGGTTTGCCAAATTGGGCTAATTTTGGAACAAGGTTCCGTGTGGAAAAAGCAAGTTAAAGAGTGGTATCTTTTAGGCTATTTTGAAAATAGTCTGTGGCTGTCAAGATCTTGTTTAAAGCAAATTAATCTGAATTAAATCTAATCGATTAGTGCAAAGGGTACATGTATATTCAGACCATTTCTGTCATTAGACATATAGCAAAGATTGGGAAAGGGAAATTGAGATTATGGAATTGATCATTTTTGTAATAAGCAACGACACAAAGGCATATTGCAGATATTGGAAATCAAAAACTTGTGCACAACACGGTGAACTTGTTTCCCACACAAAAACTCATAGTTGAGGTGGAAATTTTGCTGAGACTTGGCAACCCTGCTGGTCATGCTGAGCCAGTACCTGAACAGAGTGGCAGTGTTCTGCTCTCCATGACAGAGCTCATGCCCACTGCACAGAACCTTTCAGTCCAGGCTTCAGGCTAATGCTATGTGATGGGCTTATTGTCTGTTTCACCTAGTTTGAGATGGAGATTGAAGCCAAGACTTTTTAATTAGACCACTTGAATAAAAGGGTGCTGGATCCCCCAAAGGGAAAACTCTCCACATAGCTGTACTGGACCTCTCATTCTGACAGTGTCCCAATTCCAGTGCATCAAGAGTTTGATTAATCAAACTCTGTGAAGATGTCCTTTGCTATAA